TGGGGCCAGCGAGGACATGACCAAAGTGAATGATGGCTCTGCTTTACTAGGAAAAACGCATGTGTGAAATACATTCAACCAAATCACCTCACGTCTACAACATTCGTATTCATCTTCACAGCTAACGCTCCACCAGCGAACCCCAAGAATCCAATGGTGTTTCTCATCCTGATTCCCTGAAACACAGCCCCTGAAGTGGTGTTTCACTTCGCCGACTTTGTGAATCGCACGAATAAACCAATGTTCTATGAATAGAGATGGCTCTCCAGACACCCCTACGTGTAGAAGGCCAGCCAAGTGTTCAAGGAATGAGCAGCGAACGTTTTACGGCACGAGAAGCGCTGTCGGACAGTACGCCGAACGAAGTTCTCCCGACAGTCGTCACTCGGCGCTAACTAGGAAAGCAGGTGCTAAACCTTTCTCCGAACACCGCTTCACCGTACTACTCCAAACTTATCCCTGAGGAAAGGGAACAAATGAGCTCAATATGCTTTTCTTAATTTCCCAGCGGAACTTACTCGCACGAAAGGCAGAATCAGATGAAACATGCAATGGAGTGTCATCTAGAGTGTGCATAAGAAACAAAATAAGGAATAACAAATCACGAATAATGGAGTTCTAAGAGACGATACACGAGGAACATCATTCGGCACTTTTCCAAGTAGGACAAATTTACGCATGCATATTCATGAGTCCGATGGAAAAGTGTGTGACTTACGACTAAATTACTACCAAGTACACTCAACAAGGCTGAGCAAGCAGGCAGCGATTATGTAGCGAAGCCAGTAACTTCGCTCGTAAAATTGACCGTTTCAATATCGGGGCGCAGTCTCGGCAGAAACAACGGAAGCTCTTAACCACAGCGGCACGCTGACACCGGAAGAGCAGGCGCGGAGACGGCAGAAGAAGTTTGGTGACAACTTTAGGTCGGCGGTCCGACGTGGAGAGGAAAACAAACTGCCCCCGGCGTCGAGTTCCTCGGGCGAAGAACACAACTTGGACAGCAGCAGCTAACAATGGTGGCTCTCCGGCCGTTAAACAGCGACTTTGGGAAACGACAGCGGTCCGCTGCTGCGACCGAGATCCAATTACGTGTGTAAAAACGGAACAAACGGCGACAGTCCGGCCGCAAAAACAAACCACACCACCTCTGAAAGATGATACAGCCTCCACGAGGACCCGAGACACAGCATAATACCAGTGTTTGGAACAAAATAGAAACTGAAATTATTGAATAGCTCGAACCGTATCCGGACAAATTGAACAATTTTTCTCATACCATAGAAAGTCACTTCTCTTCCCAAGACCATTAACCACTCAGAAAATTACGGTTAAGGTGAGAAAGGCGACGAATAATAAATGGCACCGATACTTCAGCTGCCTGATCTCACTGCCGAATATAATCGATACTATGCAAGCATGCTATATGTATTATGTACCCTGACAATGATTAATAAAACCAGCAAAGGCAGTAAAAAAAAAAAAAAAAACACACACACACACACCAGCAAAGTATTCTAAGACCCGACTATTCCCGTCTGTGTTCTCGGATGTGGCCGTCCCCTCAGCATTTCTCCTGTCCCCACCATACCCTTCTCGGCCGTGTCCCCAGCACCAGCGGCGTCCCGCTCCGGCCACCTGGTTCGCCTTATTGGTCCGCCGGCACCGTCTGATGACCCCGTATCGGCGCGCTGACGACGGCGGCACGTGCAGATGGCGGTCCGCCCGAGAGGGCGAGCGCGCGATATACCGACAGTCGAGGGGACACAGCTGGACCCGAGGAGACCCGGATGGAGAGGCCGGAACAGAGACGGCGGTGGTGTCAGATGAAACACGAGTGACTGCGCTTAATGGCGAGTCATAAGGAGTTGTCGGGGATTATGTGAAAAGGAGAGCGGTGCTGGTAGTTAAACCTGTGAGATACGTAGAAAGGGAACGTTTTGTCGGGGATAGCTTTTCAGAAAGTTGGACATCTGGAGTTGCATATCTCAGCGGTAAAGACACGTTTGGAGAAGAAAATGAGGCGACAGATTCCGCTGAGTTTTCTCTGGCATTAGTAAATCATGCGAAATTGCCGGGTTCGCCGGAGCCCTGAGCTAGCCACTGGAAAATGTGGAATCTAGAGACACAAAAATCCTCTCACAGAAGAACAGCTCTGCCGTCTGCTGTGATAAAATATTCAAATATTACCATTGTCTTGAGCCATGAAAGTTTGAAACGTCTGACATGGTTCCATGAAGGAGGAATACTAGAAAATGATAGGGGCGCAGCAAGTGATGACTTGTGACGTGTAAACCAAAGTAAAAGAGATCAGAGATAGGAAAAAGGAACTAAAGGGAATACTTAAGGTAACTCAGACTGAAGCGGCATCGCCACAGCCTTCCCCGAAGAGCAGCCCAGTTCACCAGATGGCGTTTTCACTGGCAAACGTTACCGGTAGATGGCAGACTTATCAGCGGGTCACCAGTTCGCAGCAGCCCCAGCCAGAGAACAGCGAGTGGCAACAATGAAGTTCTACGACCCATCCTATTGAATCAAATTTCCAGGAATCACTTCTTACCAGGCGCGGCGACTAATTCTGTAAAATGGCGTGACCCGGACACAGCTACAGCGACTGGGCTTTAGCAGCCGAGTAAACTGACAGCAAATACCCAGACCTTTGTCCCATTATTTGCTCTCCCTCTCTTTGCATTGCTAGGAATCCGTTATTCAAAGCAAGCATTCAGTTCAACAGTGCTAACGCAAAAAAAAAACGAGTTGCAGAGGTCGCTGAAGGCAAAATGTGTAACTAGGCAATATCTCACCAGGATATGCGGGCACAAATGGAGAAATACGTAGAAAGCACTCTTCGCGATAACCCGCTCAATGGTTGCGAGCCGTTTTCAAAGCCCCCAACTACAGCGGAAATACGAGGAACGCTGCAGACTAAAAACACTGAATAGATGCATACATTAGCCCGTCCAGAGGCCTCCTGCATTCATTAACAAATTAGCCAGCAGAAGTGTTGCTGCCCGAAGCAGCAACGCTCCAGCATCAGCAGAAGCAGCAACGCTCCAGCATCACCCAACCATCCCGGCCATCCAGTCCGTCCAATCGCTTCCCAGCATTATTGAGCCGTCATAAAACTCCTCCAGTGACAGTGTGAGATATCCAGTGCATGGAACCGTGTGTTGACCGAAAAATAGCTCACGATCGTCGGTGGGGTCAAAATATTTTCTCCCAGGTCCAATGGAAGCATCAGAGGCGGGCAATGGCGGTGCCGGAACAAAACACAAAAAGTCGGGTCGGTGGGTCCGTCGGTAGGTCAGAGGGTTGGTTTGCCTTGTCGGTATAACAATTATGACAGCTAAGCAGACCGTGACCGACAACAGGAGACAGGAACAGCCGCGGGGAGGGGTCGGACAGGCACACGACAGATGCCCACAGAGCCGGTCGGAGAATGTCGGAAATTGGGACAGGTTGACAGCCGCGGGCCGACAACAACAGGTTCGACAAAAATACGGTCGGACGAAGTCGAGAAAAGAGTGAAGACCCTATGCGGAGCGGGGTTCCCAATTCCCATTTAGGAGGGCTTACTTTGCAATGTTGTGCACAACGCCAATCATCATACGTTGACAAAATCAGCCGCATATTGTCTGTAGGCTTAGTTTTAGCAATCTAGCACTGAGCCTCATCAACATCTGGGCCATTTAATAACCATCCCACACTCACACAAAGCACCCACACACACAAACACTCGACCACAACAGTCCTGCCATTAGAAGGCAGCCCGTTCTCAGGGCAGTGCCCTTCCGAGCAGTGCTGGAAATGAGGCCGTTTTCTGGTCCCGGCGTTTTATTCTCCGGGTGGGTTACCCCCATCTAGCGCTCAGCCTTTCGGGACCCACTCAGGGTCGCGGTTGTTTTCGCCGCTCGCCCCAGTCGAGATGCAAAGTTAATAGCCAAACGAAGCTTATTTAGGGCCAGCCAAACCAGCCTAGTCTGGAGTTACTGTTAAATGTATGCATATTGATGAAAGAAAAAGGTTTTGTAGAATCGATTAATTTCGGAGTCGTATATTAAGATGCCCCAAATAAACTTCGTGGGACTATCAACTTTGCATCTCGAATGGGCCGAGCGGTGAAAAACAGCCGCGACCCTGAGTGGGTCCCGAAAGGCTAAGCGCTAGATGGGGGTAACCCACCCGGAGAATAAAACGCCGGGACCAGAAAGCGGCCTCATTTCCAGCACTGCTTCCGAGTCACCCCCGGTCGACTCTCTGGCGCCTAATTGTCCGCACAAACAGTGCCATTCGCTGCGAGTAGCGCTATAGATGGTCCAGCGCCGTGCATTGGAAGCAGCACAGCGTTCATTATTAACAGCACCAGGCAGACTGCAGAAACGTGACCAGAAAGACACTCATTGTCGGTCGGCTGATGGCAGCACGCACCACGTTTACGATTTAGTGCCATCAAATATGCATCAGACTAATGGGGGACGGTGGGTCGGCCGGCGCCGGGTACGGGGTTGGAGCCGAGGGTCGTTCAACTGTGTCGTGTGGGGAATATTGCGGAGGGCTCTACTGAAGGTGAATGTGAAACATGCACGACGAGTCAACTGACCGCAGCTTTGGGATATCGCGCAGCGTTCTAGATTCGTGGAATGTCACTACGGCTCAAGTGCCTCTATGAATTGAGAGGGCACCTAAAAGATTTGAAGGGCCTCAGAATACTGGAATTTGCAAGTGGAAGATCTCAGAGGATTTAATTGCGCAAGCCACTCTTCCAGCAAGTATGATGTCAGCAAATACACGACACTGATTTTGAACACAAAGAAAAGCAAAGGAATCATGTGCACAACGTTCACTTTAAATTTCGGTACACTATTTGTATTATTAAAGTGGTAAATAAAAAATATACAACGTCCATAATCAGGCAGGCCCGGCTGCTTCACACAAAAGTCCACTCCCTTCAAGCCCCAAATCCAACTGCCCCTCACCCTCACCAATCCTCCCTTTCTCACCTGAAAGTCGACGTGTCTGCTCTTGGCCTCCTCCTTCTCCCAGGACATGTGGATGAACGGCCTCTGTACGTAGTTGTAGATGACTTCTGCGCGGCCGCCCGGTCGCGTGCGTACCTTCTCCTTGTGGGTCGGGTAGCCCTCGATACCCAGACGGATCTTCTTGAGCCCTCGCTCTTTCAGTACCTGACGACAATATACGAATACGTGGATAAGGATCATATGACACACAAAACACGCACACACACATAAAACATAGTATCCACTGTCCACCAGTGCTAGTGTCCACGTCTTACAGACCTCTTGCTATAATTAGGATATAATTACGATGATACGAGGAGAATTACGATATCAAATATATCATGAAAAGCTGGTCACAGCTGGGCTTACTGAGCCATGTTCTCTTGAGAAATACTAAGTGCTACGCATTTCACTTCGGGTAAATAAGACATTTGACGAATCGGTACAGCGCTGCATTTATGACCAGCCATTAGACAGCGTGGAATAGTTGAATTTCTAAAGCGGCAGTGTTTCATAAATATTAGAGCGGACTCTCGTGCGGAAAGCTACCATGTAAAGGTTTGTGTTAGCTGGTGTACAAGACATCGACGTCGAATTCGTTTCTCTCAAGACAAGTTGGCAGCACGGAGGCACTTATCTCGATTAGTTCATTATTGGCAGCCGTTCAATCGACAACCAATTTACAAATGGAATGCTTTTCATTCTTCTGAATTCAACAAACCGCCCCTAACCACCAGTTTGATGGTTCTTCAATTATGTCAAACAATAAATGAAGGATGGCAAGTTTGCTCAAACATTTAACAATCATTTCAAGCAGAAGTTATTTGTCTCGCACATAAGATTCAAAACACTCGAAGCAAAGCACTTCGCTGCTACAATAATCCTTCTCACAGCAACGCGATAGCGGGAGAACAAATGATGCGTATCATACCAACAAAGGAAATTGCCACTGAATAACGACCGGGCCCGCTCTCTCGTATCTGGTGTTCCAATCAGAAGAAGTGTTTACGTTGTGCCCGCTCGGGTAGACAGCGGCCATTTCCATCTGCGCTACAGCCTGGTGGCCGATCAGCGTATTTACAAATTGCAACCGAGCTCCGCCGTAGGGTATTTTATTTGCGCCGTAGTGTATTTCAGTTGGGGCATTTTCTACCATACAGCTGCCTGAGCTTGGGGTAATTACAATTTGTCGGCGACGTTAAAAAATGATGCACCTTTTTTCGCAGTATAGGTTATCGCATGTGCGTATTTTTGCCTTTTTGGTTGCGCTTTTCCCTCGCCCGTATAGGGGGAGGCGTTGAGCGGACCCCATCGGTTTTTCGTGAGTAACTCGCGTAAAAACCGTCCGATCGCGACGAAACTTTCAATACCCCCGATTTTATCAATTTTACTCCTACCCTGAAAATTTCATGACCCTGACCCAAATGACCTTTGACCTGTGACCTATTTCTCGAGACCATGTTTGGCCCGAATCGCGATTCGGCGATATGTCTGCTCGCATTAGCCGCGCGTTTGCAGTCTTTAAGTGGTTTCAAGCGTTGAAACATGTGATATGATGCTCGTCCCATGCATTAGGGTGGGTGTCACATGAAAGTCAGGTCAGCTCAATGACCTTTGATGACCCCGGTTCACTTTTTCGAGTTTAACATGTTTCTAGACTAGTTTTTGTTTAGCTGATTTCGAATTTAGCAACCATTTGAACATTACAGGGGTGTAACGAAATTATCCGGACATCTTTCTTCCCGCTGTTATTAAAAAGCAACACATTCTGGTACTTTTTATTTTGACTGAGCATGTAGCCACCTTTCATAAAAACACAGTGGCGAATGTTTTGGAGCATTTCAGCCAATGGATTCTCCAGCAAACTGGCTTTGACGCGGACCAACGCCGTCTAAACCTGTGCCTGCGGTTGGGCGGTGCTTGTGGCGGGCGTCTCTTCAGTCACCTGCTGAACAAGAGCCCACAGGTTTTCAATTGAATTGGGATCGCGACTTTTTCCAAGTCATAAGCGTTAGCCCAGAATGATTGAAGGTTCTATCGGCATCACTTCCCGTTCTTTTAGGGACTTTTAAGTAGCGCGCCGCCCCGCATGAAGATAGCGTGGCTTGAATCAGGCATCAGTGCGCGTTCAGAAACCGAGCCCTCCTATACCGTCTGGTTGAGCGCCTCCGACTATTCATTAGCCAGTATGTTTCTCCGGGGTAATACTTGACGTTGATGGTGGTATTATGTGACACTATGTCCTATTGGAGGATCGCTAGGCAACTGAACATGCTCCAGTTCTGGATATTGTCCGGATGTTTGACGGCGGCGAAGGCCAGCAAGTTCGAGCGGCTGGCCGCCCATACATGGCCGATTTGACGGTTCAAAGGATAAAACAGCTCGAACGGCTACCCATCCAACCAGACCACCTCACCCTTATCATTCTTCATCCAGTGGACGCGATCCGGCGTGAGGCGAAAGGATGTGAACTGGTTGTTTTCCCGTCAGTTTCGTTGTCTTTTTCAGTTTGAAGGGCACTAGAACCAAGTTAAAGGGCGGGTAGCGGTAAACCATGATATGGGATCTCTTATTATCTGACTTGGTAAGAATTCGAGTCAATTTGCAGATTGATTGGTGCCGTTTCCTTGCCGCTATCCTGACAACTCTCCTCACCACTTGACAAAGGGCGGCTTTTGTGGTCGCGACCGGGCTGAGTCTGCCACCGAAGTCCCAGCTTATTACACCTCAGGCAGATGTGCAATTGGCTGCTGCTGATGTCTAGCTGCTGGCAGACCAGCTTCTGGCTCATGACGCCGTGGATGCCGCCATGCAATTTTACCACGAAAGGAGAGATTGTATCCCTTTCTCGCAACTGCCTTGGACGACAACTACCATGTGAACCCGTCTGTGAATCGACTCCTACTCAGAGCAACAGTCACATGACAAGGTCAGGTCACTGCTGAGTTGAAAACCGATAGCAGAGGCACGTATTCATCCAATATTCCCACTTCTAACATCAGAAAGTATGAGGAAACTGTGCAAACAGATATGGCAAAAAATAGATGTCCGGATAATTTCGTTACACCCTGTACTGAAGTAGTTTTAGTGCCTTCGTAACAAGTTACGAAGCTGTCAGAGAAAAAATAGCGTTCTGCCCCTCCAACTTTTGCTTATTTGTAGAACTTCGTTGCTTAGCAAACCACTATGTTGTTCGCATTGAGGAGCTTTGAAATGTCTGTGTAATTCAAAATATTAGTTCTGTAATTAAAAGAATTGATTCAGTGTTGCACATAATCTAACTTAACAACCGAGCATTGCAGGTTTGACAGCTTTTTGCCCAACCAGCACCACCTTCCCTGGAAAAGCTCCACCCTTGCCTATGGGGCAAAACATAAGGGACAAAAACACAAAACAAGACAGATAAAAAACAAAACAAAATGAACTCATTACCTAATGAAGTACAGTCTGGAGCAAAAACATAGGTAATAGGTATCTATGTCAAATTAGAATGAAAGATTAAAATCAACCTGACCAGGTCTTACAGTCTGACCTGATCCTAACCGCCTTACTTCACCTAACTTAACCCAATTCAACCTAACCTACCACAACACCTGCAGAAGTACCTTCCTGGAAAATGATGCCTAGGGAGGTGTCCAATTGATTGGAATATTACCATGATTGCTTGTCAAAATGTGTGTCATCATGCTCTTGTTTGACAAGTGATGTATAATAAATGTGACATTCAAAAATGGTCTCCTGACTTGAGTGACCAGAATATTCAAATGATCAGGGTACAATGCTGTGCATCATAGTGCACACTAATCATGCTGTTTTTGTGTAGGCCCTCTGTGCATTATTGTGTACACTGCCATGTGCACCTTAAGGAAAAAAAGTGACTGGTGGTACAAGAAAAGGGTTGCGCAACTGTGAAGTTCATGCCCTTGGTCTTGCTGGAGTCAAATGCCTATAGCTATAGCAGGATCAGTGAGGGCTGTAGACATGCTACATACACTGTGAATTGAAGATATTGGCACAAAGTTCATCCATAATTACTATGCTTAACACCAAATGTAAGAAGCAACATAAATGCCCAGATGATACAGCTCTCTGGTCAACATCACACAAATTTATTGACATACTTTGCAGGTACATATTTACATTAATAGCAAATACTTTCGATTTGATTCAATAACTAGGTGCTAGTAAGCTTGCATTTTTGTAGGTACAACAATGAACATATATTTAATCATAAAAAAACTTTATCGTCGCATTCATCACATACCTTTTTACTGAACAAGTACATATCTACCATGCAATGATTCTAAATTTTGTCCGCAATCCACATATATCTCAACTGACACATTGAAATTGAAATAACATAATCTAACTTAACAACCGAGCATTGCAGGTTTGACAGCTTTTTGCCCAACCAGCACCACCTTCCCTGGAAAAGCTCCACCCTTGCCTATGGGGCAAAACATAAGGGACAAAAACACAAAACAAGACAGATAAAAAACAAAACAAAATGAACTCATTACCTAATGAAGTACAGTCTGGAGCAAAAACATAGGTAATAGGTATCTATGTCAAATTAGAATGAAAGATTAAAATCAACCTGACCAGGTCTTACAGTCTGACCTGATCCTAACCGCCTTACTTCACCTAACTTAACCCAATTCAACCTAACCTACCACAACACCTGCAGAAGTACCTTCCTGGAAAATGATGCCTAGGGAGGTGTCCAATTGATTGGAATATTACCATGATTGCTTGTCAAAATGTGTGTCATCATGCTCTTGTTTGACAAGTGATGTATAATAAATGTGACATTCAAAAATGGTCTCCTGACTTGAGTGACCAGAATATTCAAATGATCAGGGTACAATGCTGTGCATCATAGTGCACACTAATCATGCTGTTTTTGTGTAGGCCCTCTGTGCATTATTGTGTACACTGCCATGTGCACCTTAAGGAAAAAAAGTGACTGGTGGTACAAGAAAAGGGTTGCGCAACTGTGAAGTTCATGCCCTTGGTCTTGCTGGAGTCAAATGCCTATAGCTATAGCAGGATCAGTGAGGGCTGTAGACATGCTACATACACTGTGAATTGAAGATATTGGCACAAAGTTCATCCATAATTACTATGCTTAACACCAAATGTAAGAAGCAACATAAATGCCCAGA